AAGACAGGTCAAGTTGAAAGACGATTGTGAGTAAGACCGGGGTGTGCTGAGGCCTCACCTTATGCTGTAATCGTTTGTATTCATCAAGGCTGGGGTTTCGACGGGGCACCAGGGGGCAGAGTACCAAGCAAGGCCTGCACGCTAGCGGGGCCGCCTTCCCTCAGGCTATCTGCCACAAGAACCACCGCAGAATTCACAGCTCAGTGAGGCAACAGTTGGGGCCTTTCTGGGCATTTTCCAAGTCATGACAATAAGTAAAGACTGAGCCGGTCGCTGGTGAACTTGGCCTTACCACTTCCTTAGGAGCCCAAGACAGAAAGACACGTATGGCACCAATAAGCCACCTAGAGGAATACTCAGTCCAATCATAGCTGAATGTGTTTAGGATTCTTTAAGCTTGTGTAGTGACCCACACCCTCTGTCCTAATTCCTGCGAATGACTCAGACCCTGGGCTGCTGCTTTGGGAATTGTACCCAGGCGGCTGTGGCCGACTGTGGCTTTGCCAAGCAATTGGATGGTAGTTTTCATCCTCACTCAGACTGGCTACAGCTTCACCTGTCACTGTTGGGGGAAGGGAGATATGCTCAGGTGTCATTTTTAATGGCTCTATAAAAATACCAGCAAAGGTGGAAAGACGCATGGTTGCGTAACTTTAATTAATGCGTGCAGTCCAGTGCAGTGAAAACAATCTCTGTCAGGTGTCTTCATTACACGATCACTGTCTCTAAAAGTGCTTGTTGTAAAGCAGATTCTCTGGCCAGAGGATGGACCCCAGGGACGGCTCCCCAAAACCCGGAGGTAGTCTAAAATCCCAGGAGGACAATGTTGCTGAATTCTTTCTCCGTAGTACACATTTTCATTACTCTCTAAATCTGTGTGTTCCCACAGAAATGCTATCCAGAAACCTCTGCGTCATGCTGACGATGGCCTCCGTGTTGAGTTTTAAACTGAGACATGGATGTCAGAACTTCATGGAATGAATATAACCTGATCTTGGCAAACCCAATGGTTTGAAGTAACAGGAGCTCTGCAGGCCACCGAAGGCCTCGCTTCTTGGGCCCCCCTCATGCTGGTGTCCACGGAGGGCATGTGTGTCTCAGGCGCAAGTCTCTTTTCCAGGTAGATGCACAATTCAAACTTATGTCACCTCAAGACTTTGTTTTATAGCCAGACAAGAGTGTCAGCATTTTTTTTCTTCACCTTCCCTTGATGAAGATGTGTTTCTCTTAGTAAGAAAGAGAGAGAGAGAGAGAGAGAAGAGAGAGAGAGAGAGAAAGAAAGAAAGAAAGAGAAAGAAAGAAAGAAAGAAAGAAAGAAAGAAAGAAAGAAAAAGGCAACTCATCAAATGAAAGCTAACGATATGAAAAGCTGGTTAATGATCATCATTTCAAATATAAGAGTTTAAATTGCTTCATTACTCAAATGGTGGCCTGAGGGTCAGCAACATGGACATCACTTGGGATCTTGTTATGGACCAGAATCTTGGGCTCCACTGAGACCTGAGTTAGGGTCTGTATTTTTATAAGATCTCCGGGTGATTCTTACACACATGGAAGTTTGAGAAGCTTTGCTAGAGGGAAGACTTACATACATAGGAATTTGATAAAGAGTTAATGTGATAATTTTCTACTTTTTCGAGATCACTTTTTTCCTTAGAGCTTCCTGAAAGGTCTAATTTTTCTATTTTGTTGCCTCAACATAATTTTGTAAGCCCTAGATTTTTCTAGAAGGCAGAAACCCACGAGAGGCCTGGCTATGGTCCTCCAAAACAGAGCTTTCTTGAGTTATCATTCTGACCTCTCATCTCAAGTGCTGGGTCTGGGTCAAGTTTACAGTCTGAGGTTTGACACACAACATCGGGAGTCTCCCGTGTGTTCCCCCTACCAAGCTGGTGGCCACATGTACATAAACAGAAGGCTTTTTTTTCCTCCAGGGGCGTCGGATTCTCAATTTTCACCTAGTTTGCAATTTGGAAACGCATTAATTAATCCTGTGAGTTCTTCCAGACACACAGCACGTGTTCACGGGGCAGCGTTTCAGGTGGCCTCAGTAGTCCTGCCACGGGCTGTCCTCCCTGTGGGCTACCTGCCTCTGGCCTCCAGCCACGGCCTTGCAGATGTCACGCCCTGTGTTTGGTTCCAAGAGAAGGGACCCAGCCTTACCTCGTACCCACTTGCAGCAGCCGACCCTTGCAGAGTCCAGAGGCCTGGCCTACACAGGCACCCGGTAGTTCGGCTGCATCTTTCAGATGCATCTGGATTCCTTCAGGCCTGCCGTGGGCCAGCAATCTTGTTTGAAACCGTTTCTCCTTACAGAACATTGGCTCTTCTGCTTCTGGTGCCATTTGACACCAGGAGAGTAAAACTGGAAAACTTAAACAAACCCCCTTTGAATGTTAGAAACGTTCAGCATTCGAGGTTTGGTCAAATGCTGGAAGACGTTTCGAGTTGGTACTGAACTTTCCAGCCTGGTCTTCCAACCTTGAGGCTAATTTTAGCCTGAGATCCAGGCAGGGAAAGCAAAGGAAAATGAGGAGTCTAAAATGACTCTGAGCTGGAGAAGCCAGAATTTGCATTGGTTAGATAGTGTAAGATTCAGTAATTCGGTTTATGTGGCGAATAGTGAGTGTCTCCAGTCTGATCAAAGCACCTGGCTCCAGGAACTTTGGACTTTCTTGTCATTGTTACTCATTTTCCTGGTGGTAGGCAAATGAACCAACGTCCACGTGACTCTTTACAAATCGAAGCATAATGCTTACCTTTTTCACCGGGGTGCTGCGAGGATCAGTACTTTTTGGACTATGCAAAGTGGTTTTGAATGGAATCGAAAAGAGACCCGTGGTTGGTATTATAATATGGA